ATGCTATACGCATGGTGCTTTTCTAGAATCTCGTTGCTATATTCAGTCCAAGAAGTTTGTGTTTATTAAGCTATACGTACAGCGCTCAACTTTTAAGTTTTTCACTAAATTAAAATACTTCTATGAAGAATATTTTAGCTGGAAAAAAATTTAAAAAAATAGTACCATAAATTATATATTTTTGAAATAAAAAAAGGAGAGAACTTTTTGTTGTTTACTTTACAAAGTCTCGGAAAAGTCTCCCTGGTGTAAGTAGTACAAGTGTATATTTAAGCTTTTAAGAAAGCTCCCACCTCTAAAAGGTGACTACTACTCATTGACACCTTTCTATATATAAATTGTAAATGGAAAATACATGAACAGTGACAAGTAATTTTGTTTTCATATATTATTTCAATTCAATGCTACCCTTTCATCAATATCTATTCCAAATTTAAAGACCGCCTCGCAGCCTATTGATTATGACCTTATTTGTTCAGCTGACAGCGTACTTCGGTTTAAACTCATATACTGTTCAGACCCACAAATCATTAGAGTGCACTTTAAGTTTTTACACGGATATGGAAAGGTAATAACAAATTTGGCCCTATTTCATTAATTAAGTTTTGTCGCTTTCTTTTTTATTTTGATAAAAAAATATTCATTTAATTTGAACATATGAAACTCATTTTTCTCCCCCTGCGTCTAAGAAAATATCTGATTAAATTATATAACCTCAGACCCCAACCAAAAGTTCACCGCACTAGAAGCAGCCCAGGGTAAAATATTGGATTTATATTGAGTGTTTATCAGATCTGGATCGTCCAGATTTATTTTTGTTTTTATTTTTATTTTTTAAAAATAATTATTTAATAATATTAAATCTAAACTGTTTAAATCTAATCTAGACGGTCCAGATTGTTTATTAGGTGATGAGTATTGGGTGCTCATCATCTTCTGAGCACCGAATGGGGATCCTAAAATATTTGAACGGTGTTAGTGTGTTCATGGCTTTTTCAGGAGCATTTTGATGCAGAGCGGAAGCCGCCAAAGTCCCCCGGCCAAATCCCCTCCACTAATGACAAAAAGCAAAGTTCATTAAATCGCACTCCAAAGTTGACACGTGTAATTAATAACCTGGTAGACCAAATCACTGTGATTTTTAATGGAGCCCTATAGTGGGATGATTCATATTATAATTTGTCAGAGAAATGTGATATTGCGTTCTATCTCAGACATCTATGGACCCTCCACACGTGAACAATCGAATCAAAGTCGACCTGGTTGACGACGCCACGTGTCAACCTTGGATTATAGTATAACCTAAAATGGTGCTACTTTTGAAGCAGTTTGGCTCGACAGTGCAGGGGATAGGTCCTTCAGAGATTAGAAAATACAGAGAACAGGGAAAAGCGAGAGGCTTTTTTAGAGCCTTGGTTAGTTGGGAATCTCAGTTGTTGGTTGAGGGAGACAGACATACATGACGAGGAACCAAAGATCAGATCGTAATTTTATCCTCACATCATGATACGTAGTAATCCTCCGGTGCTTAATATAAGATCCATTTAACTAATTTGAGTATATTAAGAAAGTTAGGTAAGTTAGTTAATTTTAAGAAACGTGTCACGTTTTTCCTAAAATACTATAATCATCTTTCTTAATACCTTATCTTCCTCTTCTACTTGATTATGATTGATGGAGTATCCATATGGGTAATTTAGAGAAAATTTATAAATATGATAAATGGATCTTATATTTAGGACAAAAACTAACTCAACAATTGGGTCTTATATTAAAGACCGGAGGAGTATTTTACAACATTATAATTTTTATTATTAGAGCCATGTCATCGTACGTTATTTCTTCAGATATATTACTCCAATCCTAAATATAAGACCCATTTTGTAATGTAATTTGCACTATAAAATGAGTCTTATATTAAGGATCGGAAGAATATATGCTGATTGATTGATCCGTAAATGTATAAAATAATGTGTAAATCATTATGTTAAAATGGATTTAAAATTATAATCCTAGGCATTTATATATAATTAGGTGATTCTTGCGTATCTACCATGATTAGCATTAATTGTGTTTCGTCCTCGTGTGAGATTTGTTTAATCATCTGGGAACTCAGACATTTTTTTGGCCGTAACGAGCTTCCGGGTTTTGCCCCTTCATGTCCGAGCACGTGAGCTTATCTCGTTTATTTTTTTAATAATACTTTATGAATAAATTAATGTTTTAATCTTCAGACCTAAGCAGCTTGAGGGCATGAAATAATTATAATTAGAGGACTCCCCAATACTAGGGGGGCAAGTATCCACCGTGAAAAAGCATCACAATTATGCTATATAATACTCCTCCGATCCTTAATATAAGACCCATTTAAATAATTTGATTAGATTAAGGAAATTAGGTAAGTTAGTTAATTATAAGAAAAGTGACACATTTTCCCTAAAACACCATAAACATCTTTTATAATACCTCCTCTCCCTCTTCTATTTGATTATACTTGAGGGAGTATTCATAAGGGTAATTAAGAGAAAATTGATAAATATGAAAAATGGGTCTTATATTTAGGACCAAAACTAACTTAAGAATTGGGTTCTATATTAAGGACCGGAGGAGTACTATAATATTCATTTGAATTAATTAACTATATATATATATATATATATATGCAGCTCTACGTACGTACTAATGCTAATACCAATTCTTGCACGTACGTGAACTTATGTGCAAATTAATTCACCGCAATCAAATTCTCATCCAGCATTAATTATCTCGACCTTGTGAAAGAGATAAAATCAGATTCCAAGAGTAGTAACTATCTTCATTTAATTTGATTAAGAATAAACGTAGAGAGCATAAGTTCAGGTTAATAATATATATAGTGCGACACAGCAAATGGCCCTTTCAAAGAATTTGTGAAGTGTCTAAACTAGAAAGGAATGCAATTATTAGTAATTAACAATGATCAGTAGTGGCCGGATCATTAGTACTGTGATGTGACCTCAGCTTCCTTTTAGGATCGTTCGGCGAACTAACCCACACCACTTTTCAAAGTTGAAATCCTTAGTACTCTCTTTAACCGCAAAGTACCCTTATTTTTTAATTTTTTTTAGATAATCAAAACCAAATATTCATTGTAAGTCATTTGCTATATGAATGGCATGACTGAGACAAGAATTACTGAGAAATTAGATGAGATAAATATAAGTTACATTGTAATTCTTCAATTCTTTTTATATTTTTTATCAAGTTAACTAATGGTTATGTTATTTTTAATTTATAGGCATTTTAAAATAGTGTGTCATATGACAAGCACATAAAGTCGTGATTTCAACCATTGAGATTCAACTTCAGCATCATGTTAAAATTGAAATTAGTTAAAGATAATAAATATATAAAAATTATAGTTTTTTTAAATATCATTATTATTTATGGGGGAGATAGTATAAGAGAGAATAAAGAAATGAATGAATGATCTTTTAGAAAATGAAATAATAAATATATTGGATATTAAAATAAATTATTAATGGAAGCAAAATAAGAATTTGTCAAGAAAATTTGAAACATTCCGAATGTTCCTTATAGATAGGGACAAGGTAGAAATGATAGTTATTTCTTATAATAAAGGACGAATAGAGTATTATAATTTATGAAAATAAAATCAAAATAATAATAAATGAAGAATAAAATTCAACATTTATATGAAACATTTCTTTCTATCCTATAAATGAAATCAAAAAAAAATTTCTCTATCTTATGAATCTTTATAAATAGAACCTGAGAAGTACATAGTCAAAAGCCAAACTCGTACAATTCAAATTACTAACAATAATTGAGCATCATCAGTACGTATGGCTTAGGTATAGGAATTCATGATTTTTTTTTTTTAAACCTGAGGAATTCATGAATGATGGGCTGTTATTTGACTCAATGGTTAACAGAAATTATACTATGACATCCTCGGTCCTTAATACTATCTTTAATATTTAATATAAGATCTAATTGATTAATTTGTAGAGACTAAAAATATTACTAAATTACTTTAAGATATTTATATTTATTGTTTTCTCTCAACTAATTTGTTTCATTTATAAATTGATGTATAATTTAATAATACATAGAAGTATTTTAAAAAGATTATGTAACATATGCTATAATTAAGTAGTTTAGTACGTAACTTTCTTAATTTCTTTAAATTAACCAATTAAATCTTATATTAATAATCAAAGGTAGTATAACATCTAGTTTATAGTATCATTTGAACTACAAATTAAATGTTATATTAAAAATTCGACGTAGTATATCATCACTACATACAGCAACAAAAACATAATATATTTGTCTATGTGACTGTGATTAAAAAGAGGCCCACATGAGAAATTGAGAAAACCCCAACGGCTCCATATATGTGGGAGCGTTAAATAATTTCATTGTGCCTGTCAGTCACGGTTGATATCGCACAGGCAAAAGTGACCACACCATTATAGCTCGCTACGTACGTACTGTTTCTTCAAGCTTTGCAAGCCTCCACTCAGAAAAGTAATTAATTGCTGTTTTTAGGTCAGATTTGTTCTTCTTTCTTTCTTGCTGCTGCTGCTTCTTCTTTTGGCCTTGTTCTTGATCGATCCACTTAAACCTTTTCTCCAGAATTGGGGTTCCTTTGTTCCTTATTATTTTCATCTTCTCGGATTTATGTCCAGTAAGAAGCATTAAAAATTGAGGATAGAGATTGGGAGTGAGATTGAGAAAATCTATTAAAAGAGTATTTAGTATAATAAATTGTTTGTTACATGGGATTGGTTAAACCCATGTATATGAGATTGGGGAATACCATGGAGGGAAGTGGCATGATATTCCCCAATTCCACCTCTATGGGTTTGCCTAATCCCATATAACAAGTAATTACTCATGCTAAATACTATTTTAATGATTTTTTTTAATTACAATCTCAATTCCTATCCCTTATTTTTAATGCTTCATATCAAATGGAACCTATATGCCCAGGTTCATACGACATGGTCAGCAGATAGCTCTTGAATCTCCACTGGATCCTCTAGAACCACTGGCTTGGCGTTTCTGTACATTAAGTAAAGCACCATCTGAACTATGCCGATCAGGAACCCAAGAGCGTTTGGCAGCTGCGATTTAATCATCAAAATCCAAAGATAATTTCATTAGTATTAAATAAAATCACGAATTGGTATGTTCACAATTTGTTGTTTTATTACGTATCCCATATAAAGGAAGGGGAGAGAAAAGTTAAAACGCTAGACGCCTTTGGTAATTAAATAAAACGACAAGAAGGAACTTACGGCAATGAAATAGTCCTTGCGGAAAAGGCCGTAGCAGAGCGACATCACAGCATCTGCCGTCAGAGACATGGACGAAGTGAATGGTATCTGTTCCGCACTCTTGGTCTTGATAACTTTTCTCTGCACGTTTTATTATTATAATAATTAATAACGAAATCGTGCATGCAAAAAGGTAATAATTAAATAAAATTAAAAGAAGGATTTTAACTTGGAGAACAAGTTTCATACAATGATTAAGAGAGGATCACCGAAGACGCCGATGTTAACCACCAGGAAAATCCATCCTATGATCTGATAACGAGTGTCTCCGTGAGAAAGATACAGAGTGGACAGAAGCATGGCTCCGAACCCAAACACATTCAGTAACAGAAGAAGCTTAATGGTCGCAAGCTGTGAATTGTTTACAGAAAGGAAAAGTTAAACAAAGCCATATACTGAATTAAAAAGATTACAGGATTCATTATATATGTATATAAATATACCCTGAGCTTCTTGGGAGCATAGAAGAGGAAAATGGCGAGGTAGATTATCTCGATCATAATTCCATAGGAGTTAATGGTGATGAGAAGTAAGGTCACGTTGTTCTTGACAAGCGCGGAGTATATCCCAAGAGTGCAGCTGAATAGGGCAACCACATAAGGGTATGACGGAAATCCTTCAGCAGATTTCTTCTTGTATATATAATAAAAGGTCGGCCTGCAATGTGTAATTATGATATTATGATTAAATCATTAAGTAACCTACGTAACCGTGATTAGTTTGGATAATTTAAATCATCCAACATGAAACCAAAATGAAGTTTCGGGACTTACATTGGAGCAAGGAACACCATGAAAGAGATGATGTTGCCTGCAATAATAGCACAGTAAAGACAAAAGAGAAAGCGATCAGCTTCATTCTAGACACATCTGGATAACGAGTCTTTGAGCCATAAAATTTCCCAGCAATATGTACATGACAAAAATAAGCATGCTTCAAGCCTATCACATCTATTTCCCTTTAAAAGCTATCTTTGAGATAACAAAAGCCATGCAATTAACTATATGCTGTATGAGAAGAAGAGTAACAAGAAGAGAGAAGAAGATGGATGATGAGGAATATAAGAGGACGTGAAACTAATAAACTGAAGCGATGATGGATATAACACGTAAAGTTATAAGGGGAAAACGTGTAATAGTTAATATATGTATATACCCAGGAGGCCGAAAATGAAAACCAATTTACGCTGGTGAAGGGCCATGTTAGATTGTGTTTGGAGATGATGTCTCTCCCTCTTTGTGTGGAAAAGAAGTGATACTAGCTGAGTTCTCTCCCTCTCTCTCTTGCAGTGAAGGCTCAAGGCTATGACCTCTTGTACCTCTCCTCTCTCTTTCTCTCTTGATTGTATCTCTCTATCTCCCACGAGTGGGAATAAGGAGAGGGGGAGGTATTTATAGAGATAAGAAAGGTAGTGGAGCTGGGTCAAGTTGCAGGATTAGACAAGCGAAGCATCACTAGCACTAAATAGCTTTAAATTACTTTCCAGTTTAGCTTTCCAGTTGTGCCTCCCGAACACCTTTCGTTCCATCTTACCCTATTGCCGTCTATTATACATAACCTTATTTTGGGTGTATCTCTCTATGGGACGACCCCTTCCCAGGGGCAACTCGTGTTTTCAAACGCGCGTGCGCGCACACAAAATATTATTAAAACTAAATATAAATTATATAATAATTTTAATTTTAATTATTATTATGACAAAATAATGTATATATATTTATATTACCATTTATTTTATAAAATTTTACGTCTAATGGAAAATATTTTAAATATAATATTAATTAATTTAATTAATTGTTATTCTATCACATAAAATCAAAAAGTTGAATGTACTATTATAAAATTTAATTATTCTATATAATTATTTATTAATTATATCATGATTAAATTTTATTATTTGATTATTCAAATTCAAAATTTCCTTCATCAACTTTACTTTGGTCAAGAATCAAAGTAGATGTGTTTATACAAATCCATTTGTCGATTTTAAATTTTTTACCATGTACCACATCTTTACGCAAATAAGAGAGCCGAGGTTGGCCCTAAAAAATTAAAGTAGCATCGGTGATTTTTTTCCAATAAGATATGTAAAGGCATATATAAGTCGCCGCGCTATGCATTGCAGCGGCATATTGCTATGGTTATATTGCGTGGTGGTTCCCTTAGTACCTCAACCAAAACTCCTTCATAATACATATCAGATAGAGAGATAAAGGCTCTAACGTAATGAACCACTTGGTGCCTCTTCTCCACTAACACTATGGTCCCCTTCAAACCTTATGGTCCCCTTTGATACGAAATATTGAAAATGAAGAAGCGAAATTGAGATTGCAATTGAAAAAAATCATTAAAATAGTATTTAGTATGAATAATTACTTATTATATGAGATGAGACAAACCTATAGAGGTAGGATTAGGGAATACCACTTTTCTCCATAATATTTTCCAATCCCACATATATGAGTTTGGTTAATCTCATATAACAGGCAATCTCTTATATTAAATATTCTTTTAATAAATTTTTTTTAGTTATAATCCTAATATCAGTCTTTCATTTTCAATACTTCTTACTGAACGCAGCTTATTCTGACTTTATGTCAACTTTATAATCCAAAGCCATGTCTTCTTATGTTGGCTGTAACCTGAGGAGAGAGAGCCCGTGATTGCCTCATAATGGTGCTGCGTTCATATCAATTTGGATTTCTTTTGAATTGATTCATCATCAATCGCGGCCTTAATACCACGTGTCAGGCATCATCTTATATTGAGGGCCCTACGCTAACGTCATATGCTTTATTTTTAAAAGAAAATTACACTCAGGTCCCACAGAAAATAATTAATTTCAAAAAAGTCTCCGAAAATCCCGAAATAATTCTTAAGTCCCTAAGAACCTGTGTGTAATTAATTGTAATTGTGAAATTACTAATTTATTCCATTAATTAAACCATGTAATTCATTTACAACATCAAGAGTGGCTGTTGACAACCCGAAGAGGTGGTTCACAACCTCAGTATTGCTCCTGGCATCTCACAGAGTGAGTTGTCAAGAGCACTGCCAAGGTTGTCAACCACTTCTTCTCGGGTTGTCAACAGCTATTGTTGAAGTTGTAAATAAATTGCTGCAATAAAATTAATAGGGATAAATATGTAATTTTACAATTATACTCTCCCTCCGTTCCTTATTATAAGAGACAAATAACCAAATTACGTTGATAAAAAAAAACAGTTAAAATTAGTTAAGAACAATTAATATGTAAAAAGTATAATGTTTTTTCCAACAATAACCTCATTAATAAGGAGAGAGAGCATGAGAGAGAACAATTAAATTATTAAAAGAAAGAGAAGTGGGGGGAGAAAGTATGAGTTGGAAACAATATAAATAGGGGTAAAATAGGAAATCAATAAAAAAGAATAGAGACAACTTTTAAGTGTCTCTTATATATAAGAACATGCCTTAAGTATCAAATATATTTTATAATAAGAAACGGAGGGAGTAATTAACTACACATAGGTTTCTGAGGACTTCAGAATCATTTTGAGATTTTTAAAAACTTTTTTAAAATTAATTATCTTTTATAGAAGTGAGTGTAACTTTTCTTATTTTTAAATCATATCGTACCCCTCTCTACGGGGCGGACAACACCCTTCCAGAAGTGACTCGTGTTGACTTGTATTATTCCTGGTACACACTAAATTCTTCTGGGCCCACCAGTGTCCTTTATGATGTGTCAACCATCGAGTGGTTTTTTATAAGCTTTACAACTTTCATACATACACGCGCATATTCCAATTAATGTCAATAACATAATTTTCTTGCGTTGCTCTTTCTATACGGAACGTATATATATATATATATATTTTTTTTGGTCCAAAATATACGGAACGTATATATAATTCCTCCAGTAAAATGTTGCTTGGGTTTACCTATAGTTTGATACGAAACATTAAAAATTAAGGATATGTATTGTGATTGATATTGAAAAAAATAATATTTAACATAAAAGATTACTTATTATATAGGATTGTATATGGGATTGAGGAATACCAATCTTATGTAATAAGTAATTACTCATACTAAGAATTTTTTTAATTGCAAATCTTAATCCTTATCACTTATTTTTAATGTCTGGTAGCAAATAGGTTGTATGTTTTCATCTTTGACATTTCTTAAGGCTCCGTCCCCCTCACCCTCGTTAGCCGCAATTCACTTTGCGTCCTTTCTTCTGGTTTTTGGAAGAATTAATTACGTGCTTTTTCTATATTTCGGGGGATAGAACCTAGCTAGCTCGCCATCCAACCCCCCCCTCTCGCGGGCAAGCTAGCCGTCGCTTCCAAGCTCCACCATGGATCTTTATTCTTTTTTTTTTTTAATTTTTAATTCGAGCTATAATTTGCATGGACCTCGTCAGCTTAATCGCCCAAACACTCCTCTTCACTATTCCGAATAGTCTTCTATTCCAGAGATATAGCTCGGCCGCTACTTAATTAAACCAAACGGAGAAAACTGAAGGAAGAGTTAAGTTTGGTGAGGGGCAAATTAAAAGACAAGTGGGTTCACTGAGCGATACACTTTTACGTTTTACTCTCTCCATCTTTAAATAATATAATAAAAATTCTTTTCATTTAAACTTGTGTTTTCACTTTTACCCCATTAGATATATGTTACGAGTACTTGTTATCTCTTTGTAATTAGTGTACACTCATTATTTTTCATATGCTTTCTTTACAAATAAATGTATAATTGGAAGCATATATATATCTTATATATTTATTACTTTTAACTAAATTTAAGTAACATTTTCATCTGCATGATTTTGATGGTTGTTTCTTATAATAAGGGATGAAAGGGGTATTTATACTACTCCCTTCATTCTTATTTATGAGAGCCTTTTTTTCAAAGGTTATTTTTAGAAAATAGATTGTAATTTTTGCATATTTAATTTATTACTTCTAACTAATTTTAACCAATTTTTTATCAACATAATTTGGTTAATCATCTAAGAACCGGGAGTAGCACATTACATTTTGTTTTTATTTTTTTCCCCATGCATAATTATCGACAGTTAACATCATCAAATGGCTTTAAATTACTTTAATTTCCAGTTGTTCCTTGCAAACACCTTTCGTTCCATCTTACCCTATTGCCTTCTATTGCATATAACCTTATTTGGGGTATATCTCTCTATGCTCTGCGGGATGACCCTCTTCCCAGAGGTATAAAAATGTGCTTAAAATATGCTTTTAGCCACCCAAAATCTAAATAGATATTTTTAATAAATATGATAAAATTGATAAGTAGAAAATTTTATAATATAATAAAAATAATAAATTTTATTTTCTATAAAAAATAATAAATTTCATAACGCATTGGAAAGTTTGAAATTATATCTATTAAAGTCATTTTTTGGGACGAAATTTAGGTCAAGCCACTTATATTATTAAGCTACTTTAATCAAATCTTGCCATGTGACTTCCATTAAATGAAAATTCATGTTGATAATATTTTAAAATTTCTTTAGACCGTTATTAATAATAAAAATTAGCCTTTCGAAAGCTTATCCTCTGATTGAGTCGTTTCCGTGAAGTCAACAGTTAACATACACGCAAAAACAACACTTAAAGATACTTATCTGTTAGCACCTTTTTATATGCACCGCATCTATTAAAAATTTTATAACGCGTTGTTGGCAGTGTGGACCAAAAAAGGGTTTTAAAAATATCACTTCTTTGTTATATAACGCTATTCACTTTTGATGAAGGGAATGATTCCAAAATAGTGTTTTTCCGATCTTAAATATAAAACTTATTTTATAATATAAATTATGGAGTATTATAAAATGAGTCTTATATCTAGAACCAAAAGAGTATTATTATAACCTTAAATTAAGGTTAACCATTAAAATATTGATATTAACAATTAATATTTTAATGATAAGAGGTAGCACATTGCTCTATTTGTGTGCTTCTGGAACAATCTCCAACCCAAAAACACATCGGGGGCAACATTATTCTTAAGTAAAAAATTTCTAGACAAATTTGTATTTTAATATATGTAAACTAATTATTTAACTTTTATATTTAAAAATGACAGAAAGAGGATGAATCAATGATTATTCATTCACTGGAATTAGAAGTCAAAATTTTGGCAGAACCGCATCGTTGATTGTTAACATAATAAAGGTTTAAAAAAAAAATCACAGTCAAAAGGTTAAAAAAAACAAAGCTTCTTATAAATAGTAATTTAGCGGTCAATGACAATTACAATTTAGAAGTATAATATATAATACTTCATCAGTTCTTAAATATAAGGAATTAATAGAAAGA